AAAAAAAGCCAATGACATTGTTACCGGAGGAAGCATATCTGATATAAAGTATCTTAGGCATCCTATTAAGTAAGCACTTGATACATTCACTTATTTAACACTTGTAATAGCCCTATGGACTAAGAAAAGTATACCGAATCTGTACAAGTGACTCACCTAGAAAGTAGTAGAGCTGAGATTTGAACCCACATCCATATGACTTCTGACACTAAGTTCTGGGAAGAGAAGTTTAAGGTAAAAGAAACCAAGACAATAGGAAGTGAGGGGTGAATCAGCTGGCCTGGACATTTGTCATTTGTGCTTCCTTTATCCCATGCCAATGAGTCATTTCTCCTTCCTCTGCCCACAGCCCCAACATTTACTTGGGCATTCACCCCTACCTCACCCTCAGTTCTCAGAAGTGAAACATGTATCCTGGGCTTGTGCCAGTCAATGCATTCCCTGGCAACAGTACACAGTTTAGGGTTTAAATGTGATCTAAGCCTGTCCAATCAGAATGGCTCTGGACAAGAGCTTCTGAGCACGACTGGCTCTTTTCCTGCTAGACTTTCATCAGAAGAGTCTAGGGCTACCACAGCTACCTTGCCACCAGATCTTAGATTGGCCAGGGACCTCTACATGGAGTTGAAGAATGAATCCAAACCAGAGGTAGCTGGAGTCCACAGTCTGAGACAATGACTTCTAATATTGTCTGAGCCTTGAACCCACCTGTTTCTTTTTTTTTTTTTAAGATTTTATTTATTTATTCATGAGAGAGAGAGAGAGGCAGAGACGCAGGCAGAGAGAGAGGCAGGCTCCCTGCAGGGAGCCCGACATGGGACTCGATCTCAGGTCTCCAGGATCAGGCCCTGGGCTGAAGGCAGCGCTAAACTGCTGAGCCACCCGGGCTGCCCGAACCCACCTGTTTCTAAAGCTAAACCTATCCTGAACTTTTCAGTCAAGGGAACCAATGAATTCCTCCCTTAAGAAAAATTTGCCTGCATTTTCTGCTACCTGCAATCAGGAGTCTTACTATATATACCACATACACAAAGCACCTGCCCATGTGAATTAAGAATAGAAGCATCTGGTAAGAACCGAGTTGGGGACACACGGATATGCGACCACTGGAGCCCTCCACTTAACACAGATGGTTTTCCAATGCAGATCACCAAACTGGAGGAGAGGGAAGATTTAGTACTGCCTGATGAATAATTCTAACTAACCAAATGTCTGAACATCTTATTCTGGGGAAATAGAACATTTAATAAGTCTGGATTTGCTAAGCTGACTATTCCATTTCTCAGAAAGTTAAAGGGAAATGCTATCCTGCCTTTATTCTGACTCAAACGGTAAAACAAGTTGGGTTTTTGTTTTGTTTTTTAAGGAAGGAACCTAGGGCAAACACGATTTAGGGATTTTAAGAATTTATTAAGGGCATAAGAACAAATGTTAAAAGTTCAGAGAAAATCTAGGGACAATAGCCTGAGACCCTAAAAGGGAAGGAAAGCAGCCCAACAGATAAGGGATGGAGCCCCTCCAGAACAGAATCTGATGGTTAATTCAAAAATCTTCAAGTAGAAAAAAGTTACAAAAATAGCCAAATCTCAGCTAGGCAAATTAATCCTGAACAATTCAAGGCAGGCATCACTTGCCAATCACAATACTTCTTCCCCATAATCCTGATTTCATTCTCAGGCTACCTTTGACCCAGTATCCGGGTCATTATGATGAACTGAGTAGAAATGGGACACAAGAAAGAACCCATTTGCCACTGCTGGTCCAAAGAAGCCAGTTTGATAACACAGGCAGCTCTCAGATCTCAAGTTATAAAAGGACACGCACAAGAAATGGAAGGTGGGACACAAAATCAAGCACAGATGCACAGTGGAATGGGCCCACAGGAATGTGGCAGAAAGGGAAGAGTCTAGAAGGAGCTAAGCTTGGTTTTTTTGAAGCAAGGCAAAGCAAAAAACAAACTTTCTATTTTTCTAAAAATTAAAATGAAGGAGGAGGGGACGGCTTTAAAAGAATGAGATGTAGGTATCTCTGCTTGGGGAAGATGATTCACATAAATAAAACTGAATTCTTTAACTTCTGGGATTAGTTCCATACCTTAATCAAGAAGAAAGATGAGAGAAAGTCCAGGACAAGGAAGAAGATGGGAAAGGCCCAGGAGTTAACTCCCCAGGGCCATCAAGGAACTCGGGAATGGGTTCAAGAAACCCCTCAGGTGATCTCTGAGGAATCAAAGAGAACAGGAAAAATGCCAGAATATTAGAGACTGGCAAACAGCATCCTGAATTTCAAAAGAAGGGAACATCAGATTCCATTAGCCACAAGACTTCCATCAACCAAGAGGCTAAGCTACATCCTACACTGGGCAAATTTCACAGCACACAGGAAAGAAAGCACCAAGAAAAGGCAAACAACTCAGGAAAAAAAAAACAAAACAAAACAAAACAAAAAAAAAAAAAACGGGCAGAGGACACATACAGGCAGTTCACTGGGGAGGAAACAAGTAGCCAACAAACAGAAAAGATCTCTATCATCATGGACATACACATTGAAATAACCAGATACTATTCATCCACACAGCAGCTCAACAAAAAATTTTAAAGCTTGATAATATCAACTATTGGCAAAGATGTGGGAGATGAGGACTCTCACTAGTAGATTCCACAGCTTTCTTTAAAGGGCAATTTGGCATACTGATTAAAATTTAAAATGCATTATATTTTGATACAGCAATTTGAAAGACATATGCCGAGGCTTGTAAAGGCTTTTCATTACAGGACTATTCATAATAGTAAAAGATGAGGAAAGATAAACCATCCAAGGTTTGGAGCATTATGGTCCTTATACAATACCAATACAACAGTCCAAAATAAAGTTGATCCACATACACTGATAAAGAAGGATTTTGGGGGGCCACTGGGAGGCTCAGTCAGTTAAGTTTGCCTCTGGCTCAGGTCATGATCTCGGGGTCCTGGGATTGAGCCCCAAGTCAGGCTCCCTGCTCAGTGGGGAGTCTGCTTCTCTGTCTCCATTTGCTCCTCTCCCTGCTTGTGCTTTCTCTCAAGGATTAAGGGCAGCCCGGGTGGCTCAGCGGTTTAGGGCCGCCCTCAGCCCAGGGCCTGATCCTGGAGACCTGGAATCGAGTCCTGCATCGGGCTCCCTGCATGGAGCCTGCTTTTTCCTCTGCCTGTGTCTCGGCCCTTCTCTCTCTCTCTCTATCTCTCGCATGAATAAATATTTTTAAAAACAAAAAAATAAAGGATTAAGATGTTAGCATTCATGCTTTGAAAACACACAAAAGAAACTTACATATTTCTATAAGTGTATATATGTATATAAATGAAGATTACCCCAGAAAGGTGATTAAGAATATCTTTGCCTTTTTGCATTTTATTTTTTGAAGGATGAAAAGCAAAGACTAGGAAAGAATGAGCATTAGGGACCAGCATGTGCATTAGAAGCAAGACATGCCAAATGTACCCAGTTTCCTTCTCCTGGGATGATGAAGGAAATGGCAATGAACAGAGTGCCCACAGGGCTAATGGCAGAGGCTTTCACATCATCATTGTGGACACAATAGAAAAATGCAAACTGGGGGATCCCTGGGTGGCTCAGTAGTTTGGTGCCTGCTTTTGGCCCAGGGCGTGATCCTGGGGTCCTGGGATCAAGTCTTGCATCAGGCTCCCTGCATGGGGCCTGCTTCTCCCCCTGCCTGTGTCTTTGCCCACCCCACCCCACCCCCGCCATGAATAAATAAAATCTTTAAAAAAAAAAAAAAAAGAAAGAAAAAGAAAAATGCAGGCTGGATGACAATGCTAGGAGGCAGAGTCAGATTTGACTGAACACCTGCAGTTACTGATTCAGAGTCCACGTGGGAACTTCCAGGACAATCATTAGTCTTGTCCTAACATATTCACTCATCCAGTAGCTCGCTCGCTCACTCACCAGACATTTGACAGCTTACTCTGTGGCAGGTGTGCAGAAGATACAAAGACAATCCCTCCCTGAAGTCTAGGATACTGAAAAGCAGACAGAAGGTGAAAGAAAAAACAGCATGGAAAATGCTTGACTGAGGTATTACGGAAACTCCAAGGGGAGGACTAGACCCCAACCAGGCCCCTTGAAGGATGTCACTCTATACCAAAGGTCTGTTTCAAGAAAGATAGCATGAAACTAGGTAGTACCACTAATCCCAGAATACACATATATTGGAAAAGGCTGATAAGCTAAAACACACCATGTGAAATCCATTTGTAGTCACCGAAAAATCCTGCCTTTAGGTTACTAGAGAAGAACCTTTTATTTTGAGGCCTCACTAAAAGACCACAGTCAAAGAGGCCTCTCAGCTGAGCAAGGTGTCCAGAGAGTGAAAAACAGGCCCATGTCAGAGGAGGACTGGTCCAAGGCACACCCTGATTTTTCCAGGGCTCCCCTACCTTCTCAGAGCCTCTGACTCCACTCATCGTCCTCCTGCGCTTTCTCTCAGGGAATCACCCACAGCCAACAGACTCAGGAATTTCAACATCCCTGGCTGTACCCTTGGTTTGCCCATTTGAGGGAAGGGGCAGCTCCCTGGCTAGCCCCAGCAATGTGGTGGGCAGTCTGAGGCACGTTTTTCACTTTGCAAGATCTTTCTTGCCTGTCTCTTCTTCTTCCCCCATCTGGTGCCCCAGGTTGTCTCTCCCACCACACATCAGAGGAGGACAAATGAGAAATACACACACACCAGGTTCCAAGGCTCTGTACCTCAGGCAGTTACTTCACCCTTCCAGGTCTTTGCATTTCTCTGGCCAATGAAAAGAGGATCAAGTAACTTCTGGGGGATCTTACTGTGCATGCATTCTCCTCCCAGAAGAATTCATCATTAAATAGGACTTTCAAAGAAAGGGCAGTGCTTAATACAATTGAATGAATAGTGGAATTCGGGGCACCCAAGTGTTCTTATCTGGGTCCCCATCCTAGTGTGGGAAGTGCTCTGACAGAGACTCTCCACTGGGACTCACCTCTTCAGCGATGATCGAGACAGCACCTGTGCAGCCTGGTTCATGGCCCGGACCCACGCGTTCATGTCCTCCTGGGTGTCGGCACTGAAGTAGTAGGTCCTCATGCCCGACTGCTCAGCCTGAGAGCCCCCCATGGAGCTATTAGAGATGAGTGCTCGCATCCCCGTGTGCACAGCCTGTAAACACGAGGCGGAAACCCAGGTCAGGGAGGTCAGCACACATTTTACTTCCGGAAGTAACAAGCAGACAATGCTGCGGCCACGTTGTCCCCTCTTCCAGATTAAAAGCCTGAGCACCAGCCAACTTGTTCCCACACCTGGAAACCATCATGGCTGGATTTCCCCATTCCTGGTGCAGTCAGTCCCAGTGACAGCTGTGTCTGGTCTCCATGGTAAAAGCCCTGCAGCTGTACCTGTTCCTATTCATCTTACTCCTGCTTAGGGAGGGGCACCCAGGCAAGGCTTATGTGAAAGTTTTTCAAAACGCTCATTCTGTAGAAGAAAACTCTCTGGAATCTCTGTTGTGGTGCTTCCACAGCATGCGACTGTTGGAATTAAGCCAAAAATCAGCAGTCAGAACACGTGGCTTGGTGTAGGGATTCACTGTGCCTCAGAGCTTGGGCATGAAATGTGACATGTGCCCATCTAAGCTGCTGCTCTTCTGTCTCTCCAAAGAGGCACTAAAAAGGTTGACATTTGAAAATTCTTGCACACCTACTATGTGTCAGGAAGCCTCAAGGTGCTTTCACATGTATCTTTGCAAAAAGCTCATGAAGAGGTATTGGAAATGACTGTTGAAAAGCAACCAGGATGGGTGCAAACAAGAGGCAACCCCAGTTCCACCCTGTGTTCTAATAGGCAGGGGCCTGTTTTAAATTTGTAATGGAAAACCCCACCAAGTCTACATAGGAAGATGGTATGAGGAAGATCAACAAATCTGATCAATGCATAGTATGTGTCCCCTGGGTACTTCCATGACTTTAACCTCATTTTAATTCCAACAGGAATTTTAATTCTGAGAGGTAGGGACAGAGTCTCTATTTTACAAATGTGGCAAATGAAGGTCTAAGACATTAAATAACTTTTCCTGATCTCTATGCCCAGTAATGGATTCTTCACAGCATTTAACATTATCTGGTATTATTTATTTTACACACAAGTTTGCTTATCATCTGTCTCTTCCCTCCAAAATATAAACTCCATGAGAGCAGGGACTTCATTTATTCATTAATAAACTCTTCATTTATTCATCAAACATTTATTGAGCACTGACTGTGTGCCAGGCATTATTCCTGGGTATACTGTAGTGAATAAAATAGAGAAGTTCCCCTGGACAGTGGCCCCATAACATCTCTGATACCTCCTCCCAGACCTTCTGCACTGTTACAGAGTTCTGGGACAGGCACTTGCCCCACCAGACACAAGGCCACCCACAAGAACAGGGCACCCTCAAGGGTGTGATAGAGAAGTTTCCTACTATACTAACATTTGTGCAGCAAGCCTTGTCCAGGGACACTTCAAACATGGAGAGTTGGCATGTCTGCAAATGGGCCTTGGGAGTTAGATCCATCAAAAAAGAGGAGCTAGTCATGATCACAAACAACCTCAGTCACTAATCAAATTGCCAATATGTGCTGTGTCCAGCTGCCCTTGGTTCTGAAGAACAGGTTCCTAACTACACTCTGTGCTTGGACATAAAAGATGTATTAACTGTGAAAGTGAGAAGTACAGTTGGCCACGTGACCCAAATCCAAAGTGCCCTGAGCCCTAGGAAAATGCCAGAGCCAAGATAATCAGAAGTCTTCTCACCCCTTCCCTCATCTCATCTCAAAGATGCCTATCCTCTGCTCTTCGCTTTCCAATTAACACCACCAATTTTGCCTAACACTAGGCAAATTTGCACAACTAAAGAGAAAACTTTAGGTTATGCCTAAAGGAAATGAGGATGCAAGCAAGCAAGGAAGATTTTACCTCAAAAACTTAATGGCCCTAGGATATGATTGCTCTCCTGGCCCTTAAGACTCTGATCTAGATTCAGTACTAGGGAAAGAAGCTGGAATGCTCACACCTCATGCCCTCAGCATCGGTCTTTAGAACATAGAAGCCTAGGTCAGGGCCCATCAACTGACTCATTCTCTAACTCATTCATTCAACAATAATTGTTTTGTTTATGGGAAAGCGCTATACCAGAAATTGAGGGGACAGCCTTAATCAAGGCCAAGACAGTTTACAGTCACATAGAAGAGAAAGACCATGGACAAAAAAACTACAATTGTAAGAAGTATCATGAAGAACTTCAGGATGCTATAAGGGAGGACAGCAGGGGAACCTGGCCTGCCCTGGAGAAGGACTCACCTACAGAAGTGACATTTAAGCTGCCTTCTACATAGTAAGCAGATATTTTAGTAGGAGTAGCATAGAGGGATGTGTGGAACCCCAAGATGGATGAGAATATAATATGTTCAAGGAAGAAGCCAGTATGCCTGGCATGAAAAGGAAAGAGCAGGATGAAATGAGGCTACTGGAGTTGGCAGGGCCAGGTCACCAGGGCCTTGTGGTCATGTTAGGGTTTTGTCGCATTTACAAGAACAAGGAGAAGCTAGTAAAGGGTTTGAGCTGGGGAGTGGTGAGATCAGATTTTTGTCTGGAAAAACGACGCTGGCTTCAATGTGAAGAAATTAGAGCAGGGCTGGGGCAGATGAGGGAGTGGGAGCAGGAGATCTCTACAGAAGCACCTCTATAGGTGAGAGATGGTGGGAGGGGCTGAAAAGAAGAGGATCGCCTTGAGTCTGCACAAAACTAGGAGGTAATGTTAGCAGGACCTGGGGATAGATTGGGCCTGAGAGCTGAGAATGGTAATTTTCAAGGATAAAACTGTCAGGTTTATGACTTAAAAAGACTGCCTATGTGTTGACATTAAGAAGGAGCTCCTCGTGCCCAACCTTCAGGCTGACTCCGAGCAGCACAGTGAACTGCGTTAGAACTCAAGGCCCTGGAGTCAGCCTGACATATATGGTGACCCTGCTGCCTCTTACCTCAGGGCAACCTGGACAAGCTGCTCAACCTCCCCACGCCTCTGATTCCCTGTCTTCAAAATGGGACTGTGGGTGATGGTGGTATTTTCCATTTAAGGCTACGTGAGTACTAAATGAAATAATGCACATATGGAACTGAAAGCATTTTTAAGGCTGTTATTCAAGGCTCAAAAGATATGTTAGTTGATGTTATTATAGGACCACTATAATCTTGAGTAATCTAAGCTGATTGACTGAACTTTCTAGAAACTGAAAGACTCTCTTCTGCTCTCCCCATTGCTAATGTACAAAGGACTAAACATGAATTACAAGAAAGCCTGAACTCAGGATGTATAAGCAGTGTCACTGACCACAGCTCCTTCTTAAAATGACTGCTTTGTGTGGTCTCTGTCTGCAGATTGGGACTAGCCCCATCTACCCAGGCAGAACCAGCTGATGGGCTAGTTTTCCAGGTGAAAGCTCTAGATAACTAAACCAACCACTTGCAATGCAGTGACAAGAGCTGTAGATGTACAGAAGAAGGGCACTTAACCTATCTGGAGAACTCAAGGAAGGCTTCCTGAAGGAGGTGACCCCCAGGCAGAGACCTGAAGGACTTATTAAGAGTTGGGGAAAGGGCATTCTGGGCTATGGCAGAAGCTCAGGCAAAGGCCTGAGGGCAAGAAATGTCCTGGGGCCCCAGGCAACTGTACATGGCTGGAGGGAAAATCTAAGATGGGAGTGGCTAAAGATGGGGCTGGAGAGAGAAGCTGGGGCTGGTAAACCAAGACTGGGCTTTACACTGCAGGCAATGGGGAACCATGGGAGGGTTTGTGGTGAGAGCACAGCCTGAACAGATGTGCCGTTCAGAAAGTGTGCAAGATGGACTGGAGGCTGCAGAGTCCGAGGGCAGAAGTTGTGGTAAAACCAACATCTATGGAGCACTCACCATGTGCTCAGCAGAAAGTTAGTTACCAATAGGAAGAACAATGGTCAAGACAGAATAGTGACAGGACAGTGGAAAAAAGTAGATGGAGGGCAAAACGGAAATGGGAGAGGGAAAGGGTAGCTCTTCCCTGTTCTCTTAACCCCTAATAACCCTCCACGGTGATGGGGACTCTAGAACAGAACCCCCTGAAGGCAAGGACCTTATCTTTCTCATTGTTGTATCCCCAGCATCCACATCCTACCAAGTAGAACAATGAAGCACAAAGTTTGCTGAATATAAATAAGTGAAAAATCACATTTCGGCTGGCCGTTAGCCAGAATCTAAAGCAGAGGTCTTAACCTTTTGGGCAGCATGAATCCTTTGGATAGTTTCATAAATCCTAAGAACTCTTCTCAGAAGGTTTCTAAGTATGCAAATAAAAGAAAGGAAGTAAAAAAAATAAAAATAAAAAAGAAAGGAAGTTTGTTATACTGAAATACAGTTACTAAAATTTTCTTAAATGTGGTATAATGATAGAGGTACTTCTTTAATAATTCATTATTAAGAAATGTAACAATTATTATAATTTCAAAGTGGCGATGAGCATAATGCTATTTTAAGATATTTACAATAGTCATGATGGGATATAAAGAGCTTTCTGGTTTCTATTGGTGATCAAGGCAGAGGTGCTACAGATACCTGCTGTTGCCTGCTTTCTTAATCAAAGGAAACATTATAGGTTAAAAAAGTAAAGATGTGATTTATCCACTGATACTTGGGGATCTGTAGAGCTCAGGTCAGGAAACCTTGGTCTTGAGAGAAGAAGAACAGCTCAAAAGAGAATAAGGCTTTTTCCCCATTGAGGATCCTTGGATCCTTTGCTGCATGGAAATGTTTTTTTTTGCTCCAGATCCTGGACCTGAGGGGCAAACTTATTCTGAGGTGACCAAGCCAAGGTGAGCAAGCCAAGGTTGGCTGTGCATCCAATAGGAGCTCTTTGGGGAGGCACCCAGATGAGCCACCAGAGCACAAAAGGTCAGGGCATTACAGAATGTCTCCTAGATGCCACCAAGAGCCCTGCTTGGCCCTCCTACAGAGCTGCCTGTGTCTCAGGGTCTATCCAGCACCAGAGTCCCTGGTAATACAATAGGGGCTGCCAAGATTCAGGCACTATTGAAAAAGAAAGACAAGGAAAGGGCACCTGGGTAGCTCAGTCAGTTAAGCAGCTGCCTTCAGCTCAGGGCATGATCCCAGGGTCCTGGGATCAAGCCCCGTGTCATGGGCTCCTTGCTCAGCAGGGAGTCTGCTTCTCCCTCTCCCTCTGCTCATGCTTGAGCTCAGGAAGGAAGGAAGGAAGGGAGGGAGGGAGGGAGGGAGGGAGGGAGGAAGGAGGGAAGGAGGGAGGGAGGGAGGGAGGGAGGGAGGGAGGGAGGGAGGGAGGGAGGGAGGGAGACAAGGAAAGGACCATATAACCTTTCAGGTTGTGCCTATCTACAACCACAGATACTCTTGACAATCTCAAGCAAGGTACCCTAGCAACAGTCAGAGAATTTCAGCTCTGGAAATAATGAAGAGCTGACATCAGAAGCAGGAATAAGGGCCAGGATACTAAACACTGTGCCTTCCTCAGTGTCCCCAAGAACATGGATCCTGAACTGCCCAAGAGTCCCACTTTCTGGCCCCTAAAAAAACAATGCTGCAATCAAAGGGAAAGAGAACTCTATCACAAAGGAAACCATAACTCTGTGGAAAACCAGCTGACCACCACTAGACCTGCTTGCAGCAGTTTTTCTCTATTCTCAGACCCTGAGGATCCCCCACAGGGATCCCCCAAACACAAGTATGCCTTGTCTCTCAGACAAAAGATTTAGCTAAGCAACACTCTTAGTAAAGTCCTTCTAAGAAAAATTTTTTTCAAAAAGAATCTATGACACATAAAAGATGTTTTTCTAAATCTGTTTTCACACCTCCCAGTGAAGTGTTAAGATGCAATATATATAGTTACAATCAGTTACTTTGACCATATTTCAAATGCTGTCCCCAAGAATTACATAGAACAGTATCCCAACTGTTTGCCCAGTAACAACGCTGAACCTCAGAAAGGAAGGTTTTCTGAGGAAGACCTTTAGGCTGCAAAAGACCAGGGTGAAACCCGTTGAACACAATGTTCTCAGAGCCAGGAATCAGCAGGAGAGGCTTCTGAACGATTAAATACAAGAGTCTTCCTAAAATGATAATAATAAACATTAATTCAAATCACTTCCCATCTCCTACAACTTGCATGCAGGAGATGACCAAAATGAGAAGAGAAAGAAACCATCCTTCCTCCCTAGAATGTAATTGTAAGAGGATAGAGTTCATGTTCAAGTTCTGTCACCATCATCAGCTTTGCGACTTTGAAGTACTCTAATCCTTGTGTTCTTTTTTTTTTTTTTTTTTTTTTTTAAATTATTTATTTATGATAGTCACAGAGAGAGAGAGAGAGGCAGAGACACAGGCAGAGGGAGAAGCAGGCTCCATGCACCGGGAGCCCGATATGGGATTCGATCCCGGGTCTCCAGGATCGCGCCCTGAGCCAAAGGCAGGCGCCAAACCGCTGCGCCACCCAGGGATCCCTAATCCTTGTGTTCTTAATCTATAAAGATTAAGATATAAATACTGACTGCACAATATTGGTTCTCCACAACCTTAAATGAGCTTACGTGGAGAGAAGTATGTCTCTAGTCATAAAAGGTTTTACAAATATAAAGCAATAGTATGTCATGCAACAAGAAATAGGGAAGGATCCCAGAATCTTTAACCCACAGCAACTCTGCAGTCATCAGGAACAGTGACAGTCAGGGGAGAGAGGGACAGCTCCAATCTGGCAATAAACAAAGCTAACGCATCAGCCCAGGAAGGAAAGGTAGAAGATGAGACTGACTTTCCAACCACCGCCCCCACGACAGACTCCAGATCAAGATGTTGATGCAGACTATCACTTTCCAGTGACACTGCGGATAACACATACCAATGCTCTCCCTAACCCTTACAGAATACGGTGTGTGTCTTATCTTGTGCTTTTCCATGATCCTTTAACTATCCTATGGTTGGCAAACTTGACTTCTGTTCATCCTCTGCTTTAGTACCTAATTCCAGTACCCATTTTACACCCTAAACATGGGAATAGCTAAGCTGAATGAGTAGTGGGTTGCCTTGTACCCTGAGCAGTGTGAGAGGGTGTTTCCCGGTGGCTACTGGCACCAAAGGCCACTTGTTTCACTGGGACTTCTACTTAACTGCCAGCAAAGTAGATCTTCAACCTACCCTATCTTTACCAACCCTAGGAGGCCCAAGAAATAGCAGCAGTGCAGGAAATGTGTGGAGGTCACCAAAGGAGATGGTCTCAGGATTCCCCAAGTTTGGGCCTGACCACCACCTTCCTGGACCCTCCACATCTGGCCCTGAAGATGCCAGAGGGCATCAAAGGCCTGCCGTCAATTATCATGGCCACGTTCACTACATATGACATATGACCAAGTAGAAGAGTAGAAAGGAGAAAGGAGGTTTTACTGTTGAAGGGATTTCCCTATGAATCTTCAGTGATCCAGGAAAAAAAAACAAAAAACAAATTTGATTCTATTTGCTTTTCAACAAGATGAACAAAGTGGACAAACCTGAAAATCTCTTGATGGTGAGATTCTAACCCTCGGTGTATGTTTTCATAATATAATTGACAGAAATCCACTCTGAGGGACCATCACTTACACTGAGTGGCTGGACACTAGTTAGACTAGCTGACTGCAGTGAAGGGAAGGCATGAGGGGGACTAATTTTTTTTTTAATATTTTATTTATTTATGTCAGAGAGAGAGGATATATGAGTGAGAGAGGGGGAAGCTGTCTGTTGGTGAGCAGAGAGCCCGATGCGGAGCTCGATCCCAGGACCCTGGGATCAGGGCCTGAGCTGAAGGTAGATGCTTAACTGACTGAGCCATCCAAGCACCTCCATGAGGGGGACTAGTAAACACAGGACTGGTGGCAATAGGAAAGAGGGGTCTGAATACTTGAGCAAAGCTGGTGGATTCAGAAGCTCAGATACAAATGAAATGACTTTTGATGTGGTATTATTCTCATTTAAAGAATTTATTTGAGAAACTAAAGAATTTATAATCTTGTTATCATGCATCTGAACTTCTTAACTTCTTCCCCATCCCCCACAACAAACAACTGCTTTTACAAGCCATTATTGGGAACCCAAGGTTTCTTAGGGTAGAATAGCTGCCCTGAGGGGGAAAGGGCAGTACCTTAAAGGAATACTTGCGACTTATGCGGTCCTCGGGGGCCACAGGCGAGATCACGTAGCTGGGCAGAGGGATGCTCCCAAGGACCGCTTCTTCTCGGCTGTCTTTGAATGGAAAAAACACATCAGAATAACCTCTGTGGCAGCTTCCCTGAGTTGGTCCATCCCACTGCCCCAGTTCAGGGCTCCTTACAGCTCCCTAGGACTACTGCAATCACTGATCATCCCTTCAGATGCTCCCTGGGGAACTTTGTGCTAACACAGGAATGACACAGGTTAATCAGATGGGGGCAGAGACAGGCATGGAAACATGCTCAGTGCAACCTGTGAGTTTCTGAAACTCAGCTGTATACCAAGTGCTGTGGGAGCACAGAGGCAGAAGTGGCACAGTCTGGAGAAATGGAGAAGGCTTCAGAAGGTGATATCTAATGTGTTTTAAAGGATTGGAGAAGGGCATTCTGGGAAGAGCAAACCCCATAGGCAAAGTTAGAGCATGTGCGAAATATCCTACCTTCTACATCTATTCTCTTCCTCCTCTAAACCATCTTCATTACCGAGCTAACTTCCTAATGACAGAGTTGGTCCTGTCACTCCCTTACTCAAAGGCACTTGCTGACGGCCTACTGGATGCAAAACGAAGCCCAACTTACTCTACCTGGGGTCATAGCCCTCTTGCGTTTTGGCCCTAGCCCACCTCTTGAGCCTTGTTTTCAAGTATGTTCTACATGCAAGACCCACTCAGGCCTCACAGGTCTGTCATTCCACTTTCTTCTGCTTCTGGAACTTTATTCAAGTGGTTTCCTCTGCTTGAAATGTCCATCTGCCCCCATACACAGGCAAAGCTCTACCCATCTTTACAAGCCCAACTCAAATCCCATTTATTCTGAAAGTCCCCCCAAATTCTCCAATTTGGAATTCTCCAAGGAATTAACTTCCAACACTCCCTGAATTGCTTAAGCACACTGAATGCCTTATAAAGCACCTAACACAGCCTACTCTTGTCTTAGAAGTAAACTCTCTCTTCCTTCTTATTTTGAGTCTTAACTTCTTCCTCACTATTGCACAGCCCCTAACTCTATGGAGTGGGGCTCCATAAACATACATGCGGCCAACTCAACTCACCAGTTATCCATCCAATATAATAGGGGATAGATCCAGACAACAAGTTACAACATATGATGAAATAAGGATTTATCCATAGTTCCCACTTCTCCAGATTGTGTTGAAAGTATGCCTGTGTTCCAAATGGGGTAGAATCACAGACAACAACAGACTTGGAGAACGTAAGCAGCAGATAAACTGGATTCTCCTTACTTTAACTCAACAAATGGCACTTCGAGTGCAGGGATTGCTAAAAAGTCACCAACCCACCACATATGTAAAAGTGAACACTTTGGCAAATAAATAGGTTATATATTATCTCAGGCCACTGGTTCACTCACTGGATTTGAAAATATAATCACCTGTATCACCTTACCACCCATTCCAACATAAAGATCCCTTGGTGGCCTGAGCCTCAGCTCACCTTTATAGTAAAATAAGCAATAATCAGCAAGCACAAACCACCTCCTTTTCCACAGTCTCATCCCAGAACTGTCCTGCAAAGCAAAGAAAACTAATCAGACCATATCTGAGTATACTCTTCCCTCCCCTTTCCAATCATGCATGATGTGATGCTAGAAACAAGACTTGCCCATATCCACTCTTTCTTACAATAAATTAATGAATTTTTATTGCAAGGCCATTTCTGAAAAGGACATTGAAATTTAGATTCAATGATGGTTTATCCCAAGGAACTTTTGTGCGTGTTCTGGAAACAGATTAATATAAGTATCTTTCTTTTAGAAAGGAAAATGTGAATTTAAAAAATACAGTTCTTCCATTAAGAAAGAAATCAGCTTTTAACAAAAAAGAAGCTATTTATTTATTTAGGTGCTATTCTATAAATACCTTCACTTATGTTGATGAGAAAACTGATTTACATAGTATGAAACAAGAAATTTAAGTTAGTTAATTAATCAATGAAGCAAAGTTCTCATTTGACCAAGTTCCATTCTCTATCATAAGGGGCTAATTTTGCCATGGATTTTCCTTCCACTCAATGAAAGGGACTTGGTTATCTTGCTATCAAACCGCCTCATAACATGAATTTGTCTTTACACATCTAAAACGTAAATCAATACATTTATTAAAAACATTTTAGGTGATTGTGAAAATTCTAAAAAAACATGGCCAGGGTAGGGAAATAGTAGTGCTATAGAGTCATTTTAACCCCCTAAACCTAGGAAAACTCCAGAGCTGCTCTTAGCTGTTAAAACTGTTTTCCTTCTGCAAGTTTTCTACAAGTTTAAATTTAAAATAATAACAGTTATGTCAGTTTCTAAACCTAAGCACAACATGAAGTTTGTTCATTCTCCCCTTACTAAAGTGCTAAAAACAAATTTAATTTGTTGAGTTAATGTTATTTCTTGGTTTTATCTTCTGCACTGACCAGATGATCTCTAAGATCTTGGCATATTGCTTTGTTTGGAAAACTCCTCTCCATCCTTCCACCCTAGTGCAAATGTCACTTCCTCTGGGAAGCCTTTCAAGACTGCAAGCACAGCTACACTCTCTGTGATATGTGTCCACAGCACTCGATGCAGGCCTCTTACAGTTACAGCAGAGCCATGGGGTCCAGGCTAGGCAGGACCTGTGCTGCCTGGTGCTGGGGAGAAGAATTACTTATACCTTCTTTTCTCTGCCTCCACATATCAAAGGAGCATACTTTTGCTTAATGGGGACAGGGATGCAAAAGGAAAAGTCAGAAGGTTATTCTGGGAAAAGAGATGGGCAGAGAGGCAAGGAAAGAGACACAGCTGTGAGGGAAGAGGGAATCATTGAGAGACGTGCCAGCACAGTGTCTGACAGAGGAGGCTGAAGAGCTATGGGAGCTGCCATGGTGAGTCTGAGGGGAGAGAGATCTCAAGGGGACTTCTAGGGATTTCTGTGTGGTGGGCAGCCTAATGCCCTGCTCTGTCTTCCCATAAAGCCTTTGGTAAAAATTAACATCATAGCTCTTGCAATTTGTGATTTTTTTGGATGGTATGATAAGTGAGAGACCATGAGGGTAACAACAGGGCATGTCCGAGATGTGTCTGTTTCCCCAGCAGACTGAGTTCCTCCACAGCGGGAACCACATGTTATTCATCTCCTTACACTTGCTGTGAGAGCACCTAGAACAGGGCAGGCAGGCAGGGGCAGTCAATTAAGTGTCCAACTCTTGGTTTCTGCTCAGATCATGATCTCAGGGTTGTGGGATCAAGCCCCACATCCAGCTTCACATTCAGCGCAGAGTCTGCTTAAGATTCTGTCTCCCTCTGTTCCCCTACCCTGCTCGTGCACGCACCCTCTCTTTCTCCCTCTCTCTCCTCTCTAAAATAAATAAATAAATCTTTAAAAAAAAAAATAGAACCTGGCAGGCACTTGGTAAACAGATGGACAGACAGACGAACACATGGGTGGATGGCAAGGAGAGAAGGAAGGAGACAAAAGGACATGATCTCTGGCCCTGGGAGCGCACAGCCTGACAAGAGACAGAACAGTTAGTGGTGAGTTCAGGGATGCAGGATAGCCTCAGGGGAGTTGACAGGGCTTCCTGAGTGAAGGGGAGTGAAGGAGAAGAAAAAGCTGGTTCTAACCAGGGTATCTAGGAGAATGTTGGTATAATCACCAAGGTCCAGAAAAGGTAGGTTGGGGGGAAAAAGAGGTAAAGGGTAAGGAGGCGAGAGCTGAGTTTGGCTGATCTGGAATCTGAGGTGGCTAGGGGAGCTAGATACGTGTGCTAGACCATGGGAGAGGAAAAGATGGGATTTGTCAGCCAAATGATAACAAAGGCTCTTTCACATCAAGAGGAGAGTGCTGACAGGGGATTGGTTGTAAGGCTGAATTCATGCTGACCTACCCGCACTAGTGCCTGGTCCCAGGGCAGCCAATAGCTCTGGGGGCCCAACTGGTCAAGTGGGCTTGGGGAGGGAAGCTGCAGCCATTGAGCAGATGGTCCACTCAAAAATGGACAGCACAAGACAAACTCAGGAACAGAGAGCTTATTCTGAGTCTGTCCCCATTTCCAGGTTAAGGAATGAGATCAGCAAGACACATCCCCCTCCCCCACTTTCGCATCCTAGTCTTCTCACCTGCTTGTGCAGCCACCCCCTCACCACCACTGGAACATTGGGGTTCCTCCGAATGGCCTGGTCCCTCTTCCCAAAGCTGTGGACTTTATTGCTGGACTTGATCATCTAGGAAAAAGCAGATTTGAATTCTAGCAGCAGGGGGGGATTTGGGGAGTCACAAAAAGCAGGAGCCTCCTCTGCCTTACTCTAAGTGGCCATGCCCTTTGATCAAATGAACAGCAAGGAGACCAGAACAGGTGGGCACCTGGCCACAGCATTTTAATGAAAAGGCAAATCTAAGACCTAGGAAGCTTCCCGTCTGGGTCACAGAGGAAAAGAAAAAAAAAAAAAAACAACCTTAAAGGGATTTTTCAATCAACTTTCACCAACAGCTGTTGGTCCTAATATGTCCTAATCTTTTTAGAGCAAAACTACTTTTCAGTCACAGATTTTGCCAACGTCCAGATATTTACCCCTCCTATCTGTGTTCGGTCCTTAGCACTCACCCCTTCTCTGAAATGCTGGTTCTTGCCCCTGCTCCTCAGTCACTGATCCCACATCTCACTTTTCCTCAGGCCCACCTGTCACAAAGCTCACCAGGCAGTTTCATAATACACCTGTGAACAGTGGTGTGACCCTCCCAAAACAAGCTGGGAAAATGAAGAAGGCATCTAAGGACCTAGGATCTGCCAGCAATCACCTGCTTTCTTAGACAAGTGACAAAACCCCAAGTGGTCTTAATTTCCTGATCTGTTATTTGGGGAAGATACTTCTTACATGCTTCCCTCACAAAGCTATGGTGGGGGTTGATGAGCATCTGCAAATATTAAAGAATGGAAGAAAGAAGTGAGTGGCCAGGAGCTCACCTTGGGGCCAGGCTTGGCCTCCACAGTGGACGTGGTACCAGCTGTGGATGTTTCACTGACCATGCTGGACGGTCTTTGGTTTTTTTCTTGCTTCGACATATGTGGATGTGACCTGTGGAAAGACATAGCAGAGTCCAGTAAGTACCAGGCTGCAGCGCAAGTGGAATCTGAGGTTTATTCCAGACTAGAACTGGTTGATGCGCCATGATCAATCTGTTGGAGACCACCTGACTCCACAGTATATAGCAAGAGCCACAATGGCCATGTGCTTCAGGGAATCAAAAGAATAGATGGGCACATCTTCCTAGCCTGACACCCCACAAAGGAGCCAAGGCCATCATTCCTACCTGCTGTCCTAAGGTCCCCACATTTACTCTCTTACTGGGGTGTCTGTGGCAACTGCCCAATCAGATGGGCACAAACAGTTGTACCACTCTTCACACAAGAGCAACACATACTCCTTACACACACACACACACACACTCTCTCTCTCTCTCTCTCTCTCTCTCTCACACACACACCTCCATTTCCCTGGCTCCCAAAAGAAGCTGTTTATAATTAGTAATAAAAAATCACTAGCGCACTCATCCACACCCCCAGATACACACAGAGAATCACTTACATAAACGCCAGTGGGGCTTGCCTCCCAAAATAGATTACTCAACAAAGAGCCCTATTCTAGGAACACTCCTTTGCCCCAAAATAGAACCATCAGAGATATTAACCCCTTGTGCCATGCCTGGGAGCAAGAAGCAATGAAACCCGCCTGGGCCCCCAATGAAGATCCCCCTCCATGTGTCCCCAACAGTGTCACCACGCTTCCCATCCAACAGCTCTGCTTGCCTTGGGATAGCCAGAACTCTGGGAACATCTCAGTCTGACACTCAAGAGACACTACAGAGAACCCTTCTCACCTGCCTCCACACAGCCCCAGCATTCGCCAGTCTTTCAAAGCCCGGGTCGTGGCAAATGCCTCCAACAAATTCAGTGCCTGTCCTGGAACAGCTTGATGCCTGCTTCCCAGACTCTACTAACTCCAAGATCAGTCAGCCTTCCTCAAAGTGTAAGTCTCATTGTTCTGTGGCTGGGTTCTCTGACAGGCAACACGATCCAGGCAGCTGCGTGCAGTAAACTGAGGCTCTCTGCCTGAGGAGTGGAGGAAATCTGATTTGGAGGCTTGGGCCAGGTGCCTGAAGAGATGGAGGATCCAAACAAGACACAGCAAAGAAGCAGCACTCCAGATGTCCGTTCGCCAGACTAACTTTTACAGAGGTGCTATGAGGGAAAATCCTAGTTTCCACCTTGGAGATAGGCTGCTTCCTTCAAAACCACTGCTCCTCAAAGGATAAGTGATCCTTCCTGCCCCGAAAGACAGGGTCCCGGCACCCTGCACCATTACTTCTTCGCAGAAGTAACCGCTACCACTGTGCTTTCTGAGCTGTGCCAACAGCAGGACCACTGCAGTGGCACCAGCTTTCCAAGGGGCTGAGCTCTACTGGATGCTTGGCAGCTGGAGGTGCAAGTCCCACCAAGCAGAAAGATCACTGGCTCCTTATCAGCTCAGGCACTCACTCCAGATTCCCCGCCCCCGGCCTCCATCCCAGCCAGACTTTTGTTACTGCTCCCCACTCAGAGAATGTCACCAAGCTCAGCCCCACTCACTGCTGCCAGAGGCTACATGCTGCAGAGAGATAATCACCAGCCGGGGGTGAAAAGGGCTCTCAGAGGCTGCCTTGTCCAGCCCCTGCCTCCAGGCAGAACTATGCCCAAAACATCTGCCTGGAACCTAGTCTTGCCTGACGTTCAGATTTCCAGAGGTTGAGACAAAAGATGAGTTCTCAGTTATGGCAGCTGTAGCTCTAAGCCAAAACTCAAGACACAAAGTCTGACAATAGATTTGTTTGGGATTTTATGCAGTTTAATTTGCTCCCATTTAAGACACGGAGGATTATTATAGAATATTTGGGAAATATTTTTTAAAAAGCTAAAAGGAAAGGAAAAAAAATCATCATAGTCCTATATACTCCCATTCTTTTTATAGGTCTGGTTTGTGCAGGAGGAGGGAAGAGCACATTTTTGTTTTTACATAATTGTGATCACACCATGTTTATGATTTTTGCATTTTGATTTTTTCAAAACCTATTATAAGTCAAACATTTTCTCCATTATTTTAAACACATCCATGTCATTTTGTTTCTTTATTTTTTTTAATTTTTATTTATTTTTTATTTTTTATTTTTAAGTAAGCTCTATGTCCAATATGGGGCTTGAACTCACAACCCTGAGATTAAAAGTCACATTCTCTACCAACTGAGCCAGCCAGCATCCACATCCACATCATTTTAAATGACATTACATTCCATCAACTAGATACTGTTCCTCCTCTATGGGACAAAGAAAAAATTATTTGGAGGTGTGACTGGGAGAAGATCCAGGATAGATGGCCACCTGCACCATTTCTGTATCTTTACATCCTTGAGCTCTGACTTTCATCACCTCCCGCTTTCTAGTCCTATGTCACCATCCCATTCAGGGATGCTGGCTGGCCAAGGAGCTCCTCCAGACAACAGTATTGTCCTACAGCCTTGGAGGTTGAGGAGAGAAGGTACAATCACCACCGAGGGAGCCAATTATGAAAAGATTTTAGCTGGAGGAGGACTGATTGTGGTACTAACACAGAACAACAGGGATGGACAGTGCAACACAGGGGTTGGCAGGTGAGTACAAGAAAAGAAGAAAGAAAAACATCAAGATAATTCCATTCTTCGTTCTGCAGAGACCTCTGCTCAGCCACACCCAGAGACAACTGGCTTATCAGGAGATATGACTAAAGCTCAAACTATATCTGCCCCAGAGAGGGGACCATGTCTCTATAAACAGTGAATATATCTTCATCGGAGGTCCCCCCTGGGCAAGGACAGCTCCCAACTCAAGCAACAGTCTCAACCTCTACCTGGTAGTCCCTGACCTGGCTCTTTGAAAGAACAAGGTGCCCACTCAGCCACATAACAAGATCGGTCTTCAGAGGATGTTCCTCTGAATCTCCTCAATGAGTAATGATCTCCTAGGTCTCCCAAGGGTAAATATGGCTTTGGGAAATAACTAGTTATCTGGAATTACAACTAGTTTTAAAAAAAAAAAAGTGGTGGTCATGCTTGGGACACCATTTTGGTACCCAAAAATAAGAATATAAAAAAGTCTCAGGGTACCTGGGTGGCTCAGTCAGTTAAGTGTCCAATCAAGTGTCTTGATTTTGGCTCAGGTCATCATCTCAGGGTCCTGAGATCAAGCCCCACATCACACTCTGCACTGCGCATAGAGCCTGCTTAAGAATCTCTGTCTGGGGATCCCTGGGTGGCGCAGCAGTTTGGCGCCTGCCTTTGGCCCAGGGCGCGATCCTGGAGACCCGGGATCGAGTCCCACATCGGGCTCCCGGGGCATGGAGCCTGCTTCTCCCTCTGCCTGTGTCTCTGCCTCTCTCTCTCTGTGACTATCATAAATAAATAAATAAATAAATAAATAAATAAATAAATAAATAAATAAATGAATGAATGAATGAATGAATGAATGAATCTCTGTCTGTCAGTCTCTCTCTCTCTCTCTCCATCTGCCCCTCTACCTACCTACCCACCCCGCCCCCCTAAAAAAGAAACCCAAATAAAACAAAACAAAGTTTCGAAACCAATTTTCTCACTTGGCTAAAAAGCTGGCTCTGGAAAGTTCTAGAGGTCGTTTACCACACTGTTCTGAACAATGGGACTATCACCAGTCTTATGGGTATAGCTTCCTGAAGACAGACGATACTGAAAGAATCATCTAACAAACATGTTCCCTCCTTAAGGGCCTGGTGGGGTGGACACTGACTTAGCCTCCACTCCTCAGACTGAAGTATACTCCTGACAGGTTTCACTCATGATCCATCCTCTCCCCCAGAGAAGAGCCTGTGCCCCTGAGCTGAGCCGCTGTGAAAGGTGGTTCAGTCAACAGCATGCCCTGAGGCACATGAGTCACAGACTCCCAGGAGAGACACCAAAACACCTGCACACGCTATGGGAAGGCAGACTCTTGGTGTCATTAAATAAAATCTATTAACTTAAAAGCCTGTTTGCCAGGTTTCTGGATTCCCAAAGTACAGTGGGATGATTTGAACAAAGACGTCTCTTTCCTTGGCTTGGGCTACATGAATGCTGATTATTTTGCTGGAGGGGTGTGGGCTGAAGTTCAAAACAGTGAGCAAGAGTTTTAACTCAACTGCCTCCCAGCTGAAATGAACAAAAGAAGTTAGGACTAGACAAAAATCAGTCTGGAGAAGCCTAGTAGGAAAGTGACTTCATCCTACTCTAAACTTCCTGAAGGATGTGTCAAGTGAGCCTGGACAGGAAATCACTTTCTCTGTCCCTCAATTTCCCCCTCTATAGAAGGAACTGCTTCTGCTACCTACATACCCAGGAGCAAATGCGTATAACATTGACAGAGGTAATAAGAGGGAGGTTATAAATTCAGAAGTCATTTTTTCAGTTGGGCCTGAATGTAGAGGAGTTTGGCTAATGGGATGCTCAGCTGCCTCTTGGTCAACATCAGGAACAGAAGCAAGCTGAAGTGGGATCACAGCAAGACCCTAACCTATCACTGTCTTAATAGGTAGGTCACCAAGCCAAGAATTAGTAACCCTTAGGGTCAGTACACAAGGTCAAGCAACCAGAGGGACTGGGCAGGACTTGTCCAGCATCTACTGCGTGCCAGGCACTTAGCATTCATTGTTTCACTTACCCCTAAAATGCCAGTTTTACCATATCCATTTTGTAAATGAGAAAACTGAGACTGAGATTAATAACTTGCCCGAGACAGAAGCTGGACTCCAAAACCTGGGTTTTGCCACAGAGACACCATCTCATGGCAAGTCCCAGGGTGTGACAGAAGCAGGCTTTTCCTGCTCTTAGCCCCAAGACCCAGCCCCAAACCAAGAGGATCCTAGGGTGGTGGAAAGACCAGGAGCCCGGGATAACTGGGTCTCAACAAAACTCTGCAGTTTAGCCACTTCTTCACAAATCACATTTCTCTGGGCCTCAGTCAACATTTTTGCAAAATGGGTGAAAACTACTCTCACCTCAC